CTGGTGGAGACATACGGCATTACAAAACTTTTATCTACATTTGATAGGACATCCTTCTATATTATAACCATATTTGTAATATAACGGTACATCTAAAGCCATTGGTTAAAGGCATCTGTTGTGCAATATTATGATATGAAACTGGCAACAGATTGTTAAGTAATCATCAACAATATCACAAAATATGTCTTTTCCACAGAAAGTTAACTAACACAATGCTGACATATCTATCAGACCACTAGTGGAACTAATACCAGAGCAATCCACACACTCCAGAACCCTCCCTGCTGCACTGATATATACAGTTATAGAATTCTGTTATTTTGGACTAGATAATCAATATCGCTGTACTGAACCTTTCACATAATTTAGAAAATCCCAAAATGATTCTCAAATAAATGTGCATAGACTATTGATTTCATTTGGAAGCAGATTTAATCAAATTATTCACTGTAACCTAAGACTAGGCTGTAGCAATTTAAACACACAGATTGTAGAGATTCATCCAAGATGATCCTACTTGCAATTGTGGTTGTCATACCAAACACAGCCTACTTTATTTATTCCAATGTTTGTATTTTTTCAACATTTTATATGAGATCAATATGATACTATATTCACAGGCTTTAATATCAAAACTGTGTTGTTTGGAAATACAAATGTACAAGATATTATTAACATTAAATTATTGATTTTTGATATAATTATTGATATAACTATATTACAATAACAACCATATGCTGGTTATATTAACCTCACAAAATGATTTTGCTACACTAATTCATCTATTGTAATCATCATAATGTCTTCTACTACATGTTGGGCGTATGCATAGTTTCTTTTCTTCAGGATTGCTGTACTGTCTTAATTTTTTTGTGATTGTTATATAGCTTTTTAATGCTTTGTTGACAAATTCCAATTATTTAAAGCACATCCTCCATCATCCATCATCTGAATGTACCTGGTACATGGTCTAATTATACCTCCACATCAATGTCACCTGGGACAGGTAATGACACCTGAAGAATTAATCATCTGAAGGTTGGATGGAATGAAGACTGATGAAGGAACCATGCTCCCGATTAGTTGCATCTAATCAAAGCCTTTCCGTTGAACTGAAGTCATGCAAGACATGCTCCACAATCTTTACACATTGTAAGATCACGAAATCAGTTCGGCCTTAATTACCATTACTGTGAAAAACTCATGTCTTGATCAAAAGTACATTGGCAAGGTCAACAGTTCAGAATTTTAAAGTTTCTTTTGGGAAGATGTGAAAATGGGGAACCAGGGATGCAACTAGTCCTCGCTGTATTATCAGGGTTTATAAATGTGACGGATTCAGGTATGTCATATCGGTTGGAACCCATCTGGCTGCCTGTGAATGTCCTATGTATTCCTGTATCTCCACTGTATGTTACTGGCTTTATAAGGAACAGGACATGAAATTGGAATGAGGGAATACAGTCTGATACTCCTTGTAACATGACACCTGGGACATAAATCTAGTAAGCAGTAGAGCTGCAACGAATACACTTTCTAAGATGCCTAGCGGTTAGAACAATCGAAAAAAAAATACATTATTAGACAATAAAGGTATAGTTTTTTGATGACGTAACAATTGAATGACGTTATCCCGTCACTGCGCCATTCTAGTGTGCCCCCTCGTAATCGAACCATTTTACATTACATCACAATGTAAGCGACGTCACGATGCATGTCAGTTGTCATCGCCTCGTACGACCTCCTACAGTAAACTACACCGTTGCATCCAGTTTCTTGGTTTGCTGTTGCTTCACGCAGCTAACATCACTGGTGGAAACATTACGTTTATGTTTTACGACGGTTAAAATGAGTCATTTCGACTCACAAGTTTTCAGCGACACGGTAGCGTTAAGCAATGTTTACATTCCCACAATGCAATTGTGGAATGTCGCTTGACTACTCAACTTCCTCTGGATGTACTGATCTAAACTTACGCTGGTAGTAGAAATGCAAGCGTTCATATTGCCCCATGTGGTTTACGTTAATGACAGATGTAATTAAAATAATTCAGAGAAGATATTTAATCCAAGCGTAAACCATCATCAAACTGTTATCATTTGGTTTTTCTGGTAGCGTGAGTCTTAACGTAGGGGGCAGACACATCAATAGAACAGCAGCCAGTTAGCCCTGTGCGAGGATTCTTAATTTAGGTCACCGACACCGTCGTTTGTTTTCTGCCTTAAATTAATCGTAATTATCTTTAGAAAGTATTAAATTTGGCATCTTAGAAAGAAATACACTTAGCCCTACCACCATGTATAGTGTAATAAAACACACTGTAAGCCCTGAACTATTATAGCGTTAAAAGCACTTTCCGGATGCAAGCGTCCCCGTGCTTTAACTATAATAGTTCAGGGCAAAAGTGTGTTTTATTACACTATACATGGTGGTAGAGCGAAGTGTATTTCTTAAATGTGGGCTGCAACGAATACACTATGTGGCAAATATGATACGTATCATGAATATTGGGTAACGAATACGAATAATTATTGCCGAATACAATATTGTAGTTAAGTGATTGATGAACAATATGGAACGCCCATATTGACAGTTTTGATTTGTCACAGCCATAACCAGTGATCTCATGACACTCAAATTTGGTATGTTATAGTTATAATCGACAGTACCATGTGGGGCCTTGGCAAACTAACATGACTTGCGCTACTGCAAAGCTAGTACATATTCCATTCTTGCATATCTCACTTTCCAAAAGTACACATGGGTTCAAGTAAAACGTGCTCCCTTAAAAAACCCCGTAAATATTCGTTAATATTCGGTTCTGGTGACCACGAATAACGAATTGAATTCATGAAGGGCTACGGTTCGATTCACCGAATATGCGAGTGAATCGTTACAGCCTTAGTAAGCAGCTATATTTTTAGAGGAGAATCTTAGTTAAAGATTAACATGATGTATATTAAGTTGTCATTTTAGACAGGACAGGTTTCTACAGCCTAACACGTTATGACAAGAAACTTTAGGACATCAACTATGACAGTTGGTGTCCTGGAAACTGATCCAAACTGAAACCCTGCCCATGTGGGTATACGAACCAACGCGTCAAACGTTTTACACCAAGTGACCTCCCAAGCCCTCTTGTGTGAAATTCATACTTAACACGTTGTCCAATTCTGGTTGATTGTGGGCATTCCCCAATACCACAAGCATCCATGAGCATAAGCCAACATGTAAGAGAGCAAATAATGTTTATTCTGAAACAGTATTTTCTTATCTTCATGAAGAGACACCATACCACTTTTATTACCAGGCGTACAAATGTGTTTTAAATTTATAAATTAGCAAAACTGGTCTGCTACAGAACTGCCATTTACGAAAATGTCGATTTTTAAAATGTCACTTTCACTCACCCCGACATTAGCAAATCCAAAATCGAGGACTAATATTTGTTGTTAACCCTGCGCACATACAGTGTTTACATGTCTACATCACAACAGTCTCCTAACACTTATGCTGCTTTTAGCAATATTCCAGCAATATCACAGTAGGGGAGAGCAGAAACAGGCTTTACACATAGTACCCATGTGGAACCCAGTTTTTCTCACTCTCACTGTCAATACTGGAGTAAAGTGTGCCTCAATATCAACACTGGAGTGAATTAGATCTTTGTCATTCCTAGAGCAAACTGGGTCTCACTGTCAATACTTGAACATGTGGGTTCTCAACTTCAATACTGAAGTTAATAGGGTCTCATTGTCAATACTTGCGTAAATGGGGTCTTGCTGTCAATACTGGAGTAAATGGGGTCTCAATACTTGCGTAAATGGGGTATCAACTTCAATACTGGAGTAAATAGGGTCTCATTGTCAATACTGGAGTAAATGGGGTCTTGCTGTCAATACTGTAGTAAATGGGGTCTCAATACTTGAGTATATGGGGTCTCAACTTCAATACTGGAGTAAATAGGGTCTCATTGTCAATACTGGAGTAAATTAAGTCTTGCTGTCAATACTGGAGTACATGGGGTCTTGCTGTCAATACTGGAGTAAATGGGGTCTCAATACTTGAGTATATGGGGTCTCAACTTCAATACTGGAGTAAATAGGGTCTCATTGTCAATACTGGAGTAAATGAAGTCTTGCTGTCTATACCCAAGTAAATGCTTTGGAAAACTTTCATTAAACAACATTCTTTCCTTGGCCAAATAAATGCAGCATCGGGAAAGATCACTTCTCCAAAATAGCCATTTCCTGTATTTAATGAGTAATTTACCAGGTCACTGTATCGATCTCACACCAAACTGGATAGATTTTTAAAGCTCTCCTCCAGCCAAATCGATAAAGACACAGTGAATAAAGTATCTTTTTCCAATTTAAACACGAATGCTTCATCTAAACTGCTAATTCTGCTGAGAAAATGCACCTTTTTTGGCAACAGAACCTACTTTCTACAACCAGTGGATCTTGTTATTAATGTACTGGATGCACTTCATCTTGAACTGTGGCTGGATTTTGCACTGCCCGTTGGCTGAGTATTGCAGGAACCAATGGAGGCGGAGACATACAAATACACACATATCTCAGATATCAGCTTTATAAGTGACACAAAAGCTAGATTCTTCATTAGCCTGTAGCTGATATTGAGCACTATCTTTTGGTCAGATGGCATTAGCTTTGAAAGACTTCACTTCTACTGAAACTAATGCCAAGATACAATATTGCCCATGTTTTCTGTCTTGTCTTGTTTTGTACAACACTGACTGAGAGAGTCAAAACAATATTTCAGTCATATCACAGTGTATAATTTGAATGCATGAACAACACTCTAAGAATATATCATGGATAATAATCAGGTTTAATACAGTATTCAAACCCAGCAGATCCTAACATCACACAAGGGGCACAACTCTGAACAGAGCAGGAATAATTACACAGGGCACCTGTGACCCTACACCAAATACATATATGACTGAGACATATCAATGAAAGAGTACTTACTTAGTATGAGATGTGTCAGCACACAGGCAAATATGTAAATACACAGTATTGACAGGGACAGGATGAAGAGGTAAAAATAGCGATAGTTTCTCTTGCCAACACAGTTGCCCACCCAGGGACAGTGATGGTCGAAGCGCTCTGAAACAAAAAGAACAAGACAATTCATTAGTAATGTCATTATAATTTAAGGTTTCTATATTCTTCCTATTCAAAGAATATATTAATCAAAACTCAGTCATTTAGTAAAATGTTTTTACATATATATTTTAGTAATATGTTTTTATAAATCATTTAGTAAAATGTTTTTCTGGTCTAGGAAGCTCAGATCTGACCAAACACCAACACAAAAATCAGCTGATAAGGATGCCATCATCTGGTCCTTGGTGCCGTTGTACAAAACAACCTTAGAGCTAAGACTACCTTAAGTCTATGATAAGGTATGGGAGTTACGGTCACCTTAGGGCTAAGATTGCTTTGGACAACGGCACCCAGTAGAAACACAATGTTTTGGCATAGATTGAAAGCCGATTAAGATTTCTCAAAACAGTGCAAACATCAAGAAAGACAAAATGTTTGCAATCAAATAAAAACTATGGTATTCTTCCACAATGTACATATATTATGGGTACAATTAATTGATCATTACAATATAATAAGTGAGTGAGTGAGTGAGTATGGTTTTACGCCACTTTTAGCAATATTCCAGCAACATCACGGTGGGGGACACCAGTAATGGGCTTCACACATTGTACCCATGTGGGGATTCGAACCGGGTCTAATGGTGACGAATAACGCTTTAACCACTCAGAAGCTGAGGACCCCACCACCCCTCAATATAATAAAGATGTTAAACGATGTGAAGATACGTGTCCATTCACTGTTCATATGACAACAGTTACTCCATTACAGACTGGTGGGACCAGCATCACATAGCCTCCCAGTTGTTGGTGTTCTTTAAAGTGTTTTCAGTAGCACACAGTGGCCAAAACATGGATTCTTGTCTAATTGGGATTCTTGTATTTTTTAAGTTCACTCAAATATTATGACATTCTCTCTCATGTCATTTTCATTTCAAGGAAAACATAAAATAGGGCTTAGTGTCATGTGGTTACGGCACTTATATAGCCATACGTGTATGTGGCTCCTTGGTACACGTTTTCGATGCAGTTTAACATGGACACCCAACTCAGACATATTACACTCACTCTGAGCATAATATATTTCATCTCCATGCCAACCAAAAGGACAGTATAAACAAGTACTATCTTTTGATATCTAGATGTATGAATTTCAATGTACTGTCTGAAAGTACTTCTACACACAAAAGCAAATGGTACTAAAACAATCTCTTTAAAATAGCTTAGCTAGAAATGGTAGCAATAGCTTCAGTGGGAGGAAATTCACAAATAAACATCCAATACAGTAAAGGTAAGATACTTTTATTGATTTTTTTTTCTAATATGCTGCAAATGTTTCGGTATATCCTTATATTGTTGTCAGTAAGTATCTTCTCTTCACTGTTACCTGGCAACTCCACAAATGCCAATCAAACAGTTCAAACATAACTCATGACTAAACAAAAGTTCAAATAAACCAATACTTTACACTCATACAAAAGCAAACCCCATGACCCCTAACCGGCCAACATGTTTATCATGTTAATCCTCATATCTAACGTCAGTGCGTTGGCTACGGCTGATACATAATGCATGACACTGGCACGGTATTTCCATATTCATTGGTAGAAGTGACTGGAGCTCCTGTAGATGTCTCTAGACAATATAACAGCACAAGTTATACACCAGCAATTATGTGTTATCATGAAGAACTAGCATGACAGAGATAGAACTAGAGAGATTCAATATAGGTTGGTGGTGCCAACTTCAATAGTGTTGGTTTCAAGTTGATTTTATCAACAACATATTTTGGATCGCTTGTGCAGACAATGGTGGGATTTGAAACTGGTTCAGTGTTGATGGGTTAGGAATCTTTGGAGTGTAGCTATTTCTATAAAAATCACTTCATATCTATTATTTTTTATGATTATGGACAGAATTCCAATTACTCTTTTGGTCGTGGAAAACATTAAAAATAATCAAACATGCAACATGAATATTTGAATACACTGAGACATGATTGGAGTGAATGATACATGAAATGCAACAATCCCAGTGTTCACGAATGGTGTTTCAAAGTAACAGGACATGGCGTCCTGTAAGTTTCAGAGGTCTGTCTGACCCACTGAAAATTCACAGGAGCCATAGAATAAATATTAAACACACATTTCAGATTTAACACTTCTTATAAGTGGCATTGAAATTATTAACAAACGTAAAATTTGTAAACAGCAAACAAGTGTGATGTGTCACATACGACAACTTCAGTCAAAGTCATTGTGAAATATACAATCGGACACTGGGGCGGCTGGTGGTAGACTTCCACGGACCACTGGCGAATCTGCCAGATTTGTCAGAGGGTCAGACGCTATTCGTGAACACTGCAATCCAGTGTAAAGGGATGATAAATGAAGAATAAGTCCTCCGTATTCCAAGTGACATTATACTGTATATTCAAAAAGTCATTTACAGTGACTTTGGAGAATTCCTGTCCCTTTGGCGGAACTGTGCACATAAGACAAGGGCCATAAATCTCGGGAAATATTCCTTCTCCATCCTTCAATTTATCCAGATATGTATCCCCCAATGAGAAATACAAAATGTCAATAGTGGGGCAAGAGCTAACTCCCGAGGAATATACCAAGGTTTGGTTTGTTACTGAACACCATACTCCAATATCATGATAATATTCCAGTTGTATGACGTTCACCTGTTAATAGTGTATTAACACCATATCTAGATCAACAATCCAGTCAGCCTGTAAGTGGATTGTTGCCCTTGCGTTCAGTCACTGGTTTGCTGGTCCTGGCTTATACACAAACCATGCTTTAATATGCAGTGATTCTTTGTCACTTGGACACACTGAACAATACCAGTAATATCAAGTCTTTCTTACAACGATAATCATGATACTTATTTAGGCCAAATAGAAAAAATGTTGTGGTTCCGATTTCACCTCTTTAAAATTTAAGGTAGGTAGGTAGGAATGTATTTTTTTTAAGAAGTAAAGTACAAACTAATAACACATTTATCAATGTGTAATTGTTTATTTAATCAAGCTTGACGCCATCATGTCGACTTTCTCTATCAGAATGACCGATGTCCGTCGGTGCTGGAAAAAGCAATGGTATCTGAACGCTTATTTTATTAATACCACTTAAAAAAATAGGGTCGGCACCTGAATTCAAGGGTCGGTCGGGTAATAGGAACCACAGCATTTCTTTTTAGGCCTTATGACAAATCTTAAAACTGACAAATTATTGTACAATACTATTTACTTTGTTTTCCAAAGGAAATGCCACACTATCTGTGACCATTTGATTAAACATGAGGGTCATTGGTCTCATCCATTCTTTCAAGTCATTACCCCACCTGGGTGTTCCAGGACTGTAACCTGACACACTTCATCTCTCACACATGTAAATAGCAACATAATGGCACACTGGCCGACACAATGTCTGATTAGGAGGCTGCATGCGTAATCTGTAACAACCATTAGCATCTGGAAGACTAAAACATGTTACATAAAACACAATAATCTGTCTCACAGTCCCTGATCAACATTATTTTCCCTTCCACCCAACCCTTTCTGCAAAGCAAATGCCCTAAACGAAGCAATTTTAGATATCCTCTGAATCTCGCAACTCCCCCAGGGGCGGTGGGGTAGCCTTATGGTTAAAGTGTTTGCTCGTCATGCTGAAGACCAGGGTTCGATTCCTCACATGGGTACAATGTGTGAAGCCCATTTCTGGTGTCATCCGCCATGATATTGCTGGAATATTGCTTAAAACAACGTAAAAAAACAAACTCACTCACGGACAACTCAACAGGGTCTTTTTCAATTTAAATGGAGTTAGTTGGGTCTGTCAATATTACATAATTTCAAACTGACTGACTGAGTTTGGCTTTACGCTGCTTTTGCCAATATTCCAACAACATCACAGCAGGGGACACAAGAAATGGGCTTCACACATTGTACCCATGTGGGGATTCGAACCCAGGTCTTCGGCATGATGCTTTAACCACTAGACTACCCTACCGCCCCACATATTTTCAGAGACTATTCACTAGTCTAATAATGCAACAGCATCCCTTGACATGGGAGATGTGGTCAATGCAGCAACCCAGGATCGTTACAAGTGTACACCTGCCATCTTAATCTGAAGACTTCACGTTACAGTTTGACACATTCTTCAATAGCTGAATCAGCAGTCTGTGTCTTAAGCCACTGTTCTGAAGTAAACTTCTGTTCAGATTAGAAACTCAGCTAATTATAGTCCATATTTTGAGGCTAAAATCCAAAGAAAATGATGCAGAGAACCATGTTCAGGGTGGTGGTCTCAAAAGGTTTTGGTACAGAGAGTATTCACACTTCCTTCATTTCATTCTGAAATGACAACTTGAACACTATTCTCTTGTATGAGAAAGGTCTCTTCTTAGATCAGTCTCTAGGTTTTAGTTGACTTCAACTAATGACATGATTATATAAATGGAATTTCTATATATGGTCACTTGTCTCTCCCTTTATTCTAGGAACACAAATTTGTTTTTCTATGGTCAAAATACAAACGTAAATACACTTAGGAAGGCATGTGTTTTTAAGATGTATTATGTCCTGAACATAATTTAGAAACAGTCCATGAATAATGACGTAACTTGTGTATTATGTGTACATGAAAGCTTTCTTTCATAGGTTATGGAAGATATTACCATTGACACAATTTTCATATCGATAATCGTTAATTACTCTTCCCATTGACGATATTTCTGAAGATCAATACTTTTGGTCAACCCTAATTTACTTCATGGTTTGATGTTTACTCGAGCACTCCACAATATGCCAGTCACATGAGGGTTGTCTGTAAATCATCAAGTCTGGGCTGAACAAACCAGTGATTGATATCACGACCAACTTCCCCTGCCATCAGAATACGTCCTAACAACCAGGGCCCCGTTCCTCAAAGCGATCGTAGCGCTACAACAGTCATAAGTCTATGTTAAAGTATGGGAGTTAGGATCAACTCTGCGCTACGATCGCTTTGAGGAACGGGGCCCTGATCAATTGTCATTTCAAACAAGCATAGGTTCCCAGAGACCAATTCTAAACCAGAATCAACATGGGGCTGAAAATAACAAATGTAATTATTCAGTGTTTTAAATTTTTCCTGTGTATGCATACGCAAGAAACTAATTCTATTTGGTAATGGCGATTGATTTTACTCAGCTTATCAGCGCTCTTATCTATATTGCGTCAACATCTAGCTGTATCACAATTTGTATTCAGTAGCATGTATGAGCGACATTCCACTGGTATTTGAATCAGATGAGGAGAATATAACCACGAACACCTGCTGACACACAGCTAAGACAAATATCCTACTCTCCCTCACAGCTCCGACTCAGATGTTATACTGCACCAAGGAAACACATAGGTCAGTATCAGATATTTATCCCAAAAATCAATGACCAAAAGCTTCCCACTGAGAAAGAGCAACTGCAGATATAGGTCAAACTTACTGACAGATTATCAATTTTTCATCACAGACTCTAGCATGCACCATTCTCTTTGCACATCGACAGGGTTGGATCTATGAAGCTATGTCAGTGCTCTATGTTTCAACATGTCAATACATAATGTTCACCCATTGAATAATAGACTTCAAAATAGATAGCAGAATGTCCCACACAAACACAAGCGTTTGGACACTATCATTTATTAAATCAATAGCCAGTGAAGGAAAAAGCTGTATCTCTCAGATGATTTCTAGGCCCTGGGAATACGCAATGCATCGTCTATATATAAACCTGCACCCCCTCCTCACAATGTTCATATAATTTATCAGACAGACTGACTGAGTTTGGTTTTATGCCGCTTTTAGCAATATTCCAGCAATATCACGGCTGGGGACACCAGAAATGGGCTTCACTGACTGTACCCGGGTCGTCGACGTGACGAGCCAACGCTTTAACCATAAGACTACCCCACCGCCCCTCATTTATCAGAAGCCTGTATGTAAATAAACCCCAGTACCACAAACAATTTGTTCCACAATTCATCATACCTCTAGAACACAATTCATCATATCTCGAGAATATATACACAGAAATCAATACAAAACTATTTACAGAGAACACTCCCTTCAGCAACAAACAAAACACACAGGAAATGTGAAATTAAGATGGGATTCTGGAGGTTCCAATGTCTACTTGTTTAGTGTTTCAATCTAGAGACCCTGAAGTTGTAACCTGGAACACAACGTATATGACAAGGTCCCCTTATTGTTAAACTAAATTTTTAACACACCTGTTAATACACAGGTCCTGTTAATACACAGGTGTGGACCAGACAAATGAGTCTGCCGTACAAGTAATGACCCATGAGTACAATGACGCTCAAATAGGCAAATACCAAACCTCAACCAGCAGATCTTCAAATAGTCATAGGTCTGAGATCACTTCGTGCAAGAGAGCCACAGTAAGCGATGTACAACTAGAGCTGGCTATTGAGGACCAATCCTGACCCTTTGTTTCTTGCTTAGTTCGACACTCCCACATATGCCGGCTGTAGACAGCAGCCTGTTCTCACCAAAGTGGACCAAACAATCCAGTGACTGAATATCGGCACCAAAGACATCAATATGTCCAATTGTTATGCAATGACATGCAATCAACCAGGTCACTGATCTGGGCCACCTGATCCATTAAGAGGTGTGGTGAAATTGGCTTTAACATCGCACTGGAGAATATTTCGCTCATATGACGACGTGCTTGTATATAGTGCTAGCCCACTGAGATATCATGCCACAGTGAAGCATGAATACCCCACTCAGACACATTATACTGACTCCGAGCCAACCAGTCCTTGTTGTACCCATTAATGCCGAGAGCCAGTCAGGGACCAACAAGTACCATATTTTAACGTCTTTTGGTATGACGCGGTCGGGGATCGAACCCGCGACCTTCCGCTCTCTCCGGGCAGACGCTCTAACTGATCCATTAAGATCTGCTCCTACAACCAGCATAGGTTGCCAACAAGCAGTTGTACACTGCAATTCCTACAGGTTCTCAAGATGGTCAGATTTGACAATGAGCAATAAGGTGCGGAGAACACAGTATACCATTGTATTGGTAAACATGGGCATAATGCAAGTATAGGTCCCCACAGAATCCCTACAGGTTCCTGACTCCCAAATCCCCACAGCATATGAGGAGACATACATGAAGGTTCGGTGCATACATGTGGCAAAACACAGACATTATATACTTACCAACGCAATTATCACAAAGGCTGCAGTGGGAAGCCCGAGGGGGGCGAAATATTTTACATGTGAAGCAGTACTTGAGCTTGACAACCTGTCCCTTGACCACCACCTCACGGGTGCGAGGCGGAGGGCGGTACGTCCCAGGGGAACTGGCATTGGGGACCTCTGCAAAGACAACATTCATAATCATAATCACAATAACAAAGACAAATGCAAGTAAAATAATATGGTTTCTGTATGGGTACATAACAGTGCTAAAAATCTAAGAGGCTGTTTTAGGTTATTTGATCAACATTTAGAAATATTTATCAAATGAACAAATATTTAGATTAAACCTCAAAGGACAGGAAATCCATGTTTTAGTTTTCTAGAAAAGAATATTAATGTCATCTTCCAAAAGATTCACCCAGCATCGTCAGATTGACAGACTTTGTGGACACAAAGCATTCTTGACCATCAAGCTTTTATCAAGTTTTAAGTAATAAGAACATATCTGAATAAAATATAATAACCCGAAGTAGGATTCTCAGCTGTGAGAATGACGTTTGTACCATATTAGGCTATATAAGCTATATCACAGGATCTTAACTGTTACCAGGCCAAACAAAACCATCATGTGGTTAACAGCATTATCACAGAGGCTTATCTGTTATCAGTCAGATGCAGTCACGCACTGATGCCATAACACAGATCCTATTCATATCTAACATTCATCGTGACAACCAATCCCCTTATTTGTCAACTCAAGATCAGTTGCATGGGTCAAAATTATGAACAAACTGACATCCTGGAAAGTTCCACAACCCCTCCCCCGATTCTGGAAATCAGTTTGTTTTATCTTGTATTCTCTACCAGCCTTCTTTTGTTCATTTCATCACAGCTGTACATATGTTTTGAAAACCTCAAAGCATTTGACCAAGCTATCAATACAACATGACTATTCACAAGCTTGCAACAACTCAAGGTAACAAATGCAATTCTCTGGTTCTATTGCACAGGTGAAAGGACTATGCTGCTGGGATGGTGCGTGAGTGCGTAAGTTCAGTTTTACGACGCTTGTAGCAATATTCCAGCAACATCACAGCGGGGAACACCAGAAATGGGCTTCACACATTGTACCCATGTGGGGAATCGAACCCGGGCTGGGATGGTATTCAAAGGAACATGTATGAACTACAAGGACACTAACACTACATTGAGTCATGAAACCTGTGCCACCTGCAAACCACTGCTCACACCTACTGGTTAGCTACTGTGAGTGAGTGAGTGAGTGAGTGAGTGAGTGAGTGAGTGAGTGAGTGAGTGAGTGAGTGAGTGAGTGAGTGAGTGAGTGAGTGAGTGAGTGAGTGAGTGAGTGAGTGAGTGAGTGAGTGAGTGAGTGAGTGAGTGAGTGAATACACTACTACTAGTATTAGGGTTAGGGTTGTGTAGAGGCAAAACATCTGATCATTCCATTGTGATAAAGGTTTCTGTTTTGTGATATGTCTGGTTACATTTTTTAGCTCAAGTCTTTGACACCGATTTACAGAAATTGTACATGAAGATCATGTTTTCTACAAAGTAAAGTAAATATTACGATATCAAAGTCTGCAAGTAGCTACCACTTTGTAGTCACGGATACTGCCACTATAACAGAGTAATAGAAAAATCACTTCCACATTTCTGTCATTTTGTTAATCAATTACAAAGAGAAACATGATTCATTGATGAATTACAGTGTAGATTTTAGGTTAAACAATACAGATACTAATGTAGTCTGTTTATATTTTTTACCACATATATTGGAACAGAAAAAAATATTGCAAAGTGTATCACTTGAAATGTTAATGACAAAATGTAGAATACCAAAAACTGTTTAAGACATCACAAAAGAACTTCTCACACTGAATTAATATATTGAGACCCAAGCCTTTGGCATGATGGACCAATGGTTCCTGTAACCATGTTACCCCGCTGCAGGTGGCTTGTCTAAAGGGTCACAAGAAGTTATGCAGACTTCATTCTATCTGTACAAACATCGCTAATCCAGTTGGCACCATTCCAAGCGAAATCTTTCAGACAAACAAATGCCTAGACATATGTCATTGTGACTGCATTAATCAGCTTGATAATTATCATTTACACTGCTAAATATAACAAATTTCATTACAATATATCAATAACTTAAATGCTGTGTTTATGAATTCAACAAAAGGTAAGCTAAACATGAAAACAATAGTCCATATTATTCTAAATTACAAATTAATAAGCTAAATTCAACTAAAATAAAACCTCCTAATCGTACGAGTATGATGACTGCCACCAAATACCCACACTATCGGTAATTGAAGCAAACAGATGGAAAGAGCAACATACATTTATTACCATTTAATAGAGTATAAAACATCAGGAAACAGTAAATTGCCCCAAAATGACAAGCTTCTCCATCACTGCTTCTCCGTATACAGCGCCATAGCATGACTGTCGCTGAGCATCCACGGATAGTCAGCATCCTATCTCGATCTATATCATTATCACAAAGTCTCTTAAGAATTCTATACACTGTAATGAAATAAGAAGCTGGCTACATAAATCTATATTAACTGCCTGATAGAATCCAGCAAGGCCTACTCTGCTATAAACAAGCATTTGTTCTCATTGAATCTAATGTATTTCCAGCTCCTTAGAGAAACAGACAATTCATGTTATTGGTCAAAGCTGGCTGACTGCTGTATTGCTGGGAACTATTCAACCTGTCCGATTTTTTCCAACAATTTGATATTGGATGATTTACATGATTTAGACAACAGTGCACTGCTTGAGGAAGACTCTTACTGCTCTAGCATGCCCGTTTTACAACCAAGATACAAAAAGTATTCTTCAGAATTTTAAAGGATTTTTATTCCCATTTTCCAAACTGGGGTTCAGTCCCAGTTTTGCAATATTCCATGATTAGTGCAACATAAGAGTACACCATTAAGCAACAAACTAAGCCCACATGGGGAACAGAACCTGCCTCACTTTGTTATGTGATTCACATTAAGCAATTGGCTGTCTAATCAACCACTGAATTTGATTCAACCTAACAATTGTGTAACGGCCATTTCTAGTGAAGCACAGCATGCCAGCATTCATTTCATAGAGCTGGAGGTTCATTTCCTTCATGTTATTATGTATCCCCTATGGTACTCTGCTTGAGAAAGATCTATCAGCACAGTGCAAATTTGTACTACTGGGTGCACACTCGTTCATAAATATCTACAAATTGCCCTGGCTTGCAGTCATGAAGGTCAGCTTATCCCCACAGAAGTCTCCAAAGGGTGCCTTGATGGTTGCTGCTACAACATTCGAGTCTGGAGACCAACAAATACTTTAATTTGCGGAGTAAGGGGAAAATGGAACTCAGGTTGCATTCAAGAGCAAGATAGTATATTATATAGCGAGGTGCATGTGTGCGTGCGTGCATGTGTGTGTGTGTACATTTGTCTACATGTTCTATGTTGGACAATGAACATAGATACCCCACTCAGACACATCACACTGACAGTCCTTGTATTACCCCATTAATACAAAGCACCATGCAGGACCACAAGAAGCGACATCTGTCAGGAAATTTTGAATATGGAGCACCGACCTGACATCTTTCTGGGCAGACACCCTTTCCACTGGACCCCAGAGGCAGTTCTAATTTTTTAACATTTGGTTCATGTCAACGATCCCTTGACTTTCTTGCTAAGTATCAAACCCTACAGACTTATTATCTTCTGAAACCTATCTTCATGTAAATGCGGTATCCTGAGATGGAATGAGTGTTGTTGGACTTCATTTTAATGGTACTGACAGAATTCCATTTATTTCATGCAAGTTTTTGTGGAAGGAAAGTCACACAGGTAAAACTAACAAGCACCGGTGTTGAACTACCAAACATTTTAATCAGGACTAATGTGATTAGGGATTCAAACATGGGCCTTGATGCACAAAACGATGTTAGCACTACAAGCATTATAAGTCTGTAAGTATATTAAGACCATGGGACTTTCAACTGTCAAGTGGGCCCCGAGCAGTGTAAGCTACTGTGACCACACTGTCCAACAGCACTAGGCAGTTTGGCCACTCTAACAATCTAACAGTACAACTGCTGCAGCGTAAACTATCACATGCACAATAACAAACTGGACAAAATGCTGAAGGGTTCCAGAGTTGGAAATTGACACAGCTGTCAGCACATTCCAGCCATATCACTGTAACCAGCCTCTAAGTAATGAAGAGTTGAACACAGCAATTATAAATATTCCACCCATGCCACAAGTCAGTATATTATTTGAGTCTCGACCAGAAAATCCAGGGATTGATATTATGATTATCGACCACATAACTGGGATATCATGACAATCAACCTGGTAAACTACCTGATCTTTTATACATTGATGACAAGCAAACCTGTGAATGGCGGCATCAGCACAATCCATGTCATCACACACACATACACACCATAAGCAAATCATTGTCATAAGCCCACCCCTTATCATTAGCACTGGATACTGGGGACCGATTTTGCAAAATTTTGGCAAAATAAGAACAAAATATTCACGAAAGTTCCATGTGTTTGGTAAATGTCTATAAAAGCAATTGATACCATCCCACCCTTGTTCAATTAGTATCTGGATCAGAAGACAGTCATTGAGCTCTAAAGATGGCCATTATACCCCATGAAAGTATAGTTGTCAGCCGTGAGCGACTCACACATGGGAGGCAGGTGGCCTGTTCAACATAAGGTGACAGGGGAAATAGGCTGAATTTGGTGATTAATTCCAGCGTGTATTAGATTGATTTAAGGACTGTAAAGTAGTCCAATCAGGAACTCAGGAAACTACACTGACTTGCACTTAGTAGCATGGGGCCTGGCTTCCGGAACAAAATGTGGCAATAATGTCTTCAAGCATCTCTGAACACTGATCTGCTCTGTCTCAGAGTTGTCCAACCACAGAAAGTGTTGTACCCCCAAAATACAATTAATCACCAGGAACTGAGTCTCTGTGTGGCTGATCTAGTTCATCATAAGTGAGTATAGCTTTATGCCGGTTTCAGCTAACCACACCAGAAATGATCTTCAAACATTGCACCAGTTTTGGGCATTGACCCTGGACCTTCGACATGATGGGTGAATCCGTTTACCACTAGCCCAGGGATTTACCTTTAGTCCTGTATTTGAGGGTCCCTGGGACTCATACTCTTAATTTTCAGAGGTCCTGGACAACAAAATAGGGGTCCCAGACACTTAAATATTATTATTAATACTGTTATTGTATTGTGTATCATGAATCATGATCATCACATTGTTACAGTAATTAAATTGCAAATAATACCATAACCCAGCTAGTACTAGTAGCAAACTCAGTGATAACTTATGGTCACTTGATTGGAAGTTTTACAAAAAGTATTTGGACTTTTTCTGAGTCCCTGTGGACGCGTTAATAAATTTTGTTGCGTCCATTGTCAAGTTTTATGCATATAGGACGCAGGAATTTATGTAATTTGGAGTTCACCATATCACTTGGGTGTTTTAAACACGCCATATCTACAATTTATCAAAATATGTCTCAAATATTGTTGACATGACTTGGAACTGTAATTCACTCAACATCACACAACATTTGGGAGGGACCATCAAACTATTGCAACATACCACTATTTTAGGCATAAACAGAATATAACAAAAAATTAACACAATCCATCATTGCAAGAATCTGACACTATTTCCCATATGGGATTTTCATATTTTCATTCTTATGTTTTGAGTCAAATAGTGAATGATATGAACGAAATTCAATTTCCTATGCAATGTGGTTTTATTAGAAATATGTGAGTCTGGACCTGGTAAAACCAGTGGTGGATAGCAAGATCAGCTTATTAACCCTCAGACCCCATGAGACAAAGAGCCAATTCATATGGCTGGATCACTCAAACCCCCCATTTCGTGTCCTCATGGGTTTACATTATGCATTACGAAATGGTGTCCTTATTTTCCTGGCTGAGATTGAAATTCTCCCAGCTGCTGTAAAGTTGATAAATTCATTTGTCCCGTCAATGACCAGTATCAGTCAGCTACATTAGCTGTCTCTATCTAAACTACTAACAGGCATTGTGCTTCCTTTGTCTGGAACCGGGAGACATGGTTGTTTTGTTACCATGGTTATAGGATCTGACTGTTGGTGGCATTGGGAAATGAGCTTTGTAATAAGAGTATATGTCTGCCGTAAGTTATTTGAGTGAGAGCCAATTACATGTGTTATTAAGTGACTGAAGACAGAGTGTCCTTATTACCATTTATACTAAAAGCACGATGCAGTAACCATGACAATTGGACAACGCCACTGTTGTTACCAAAAGCCAGTCCTTATCTAGTATTACACTCAAATGTCATTTATGTAACAAACTCTTTAAGAGAACAAATTCTCAGAACAGGGGGTTGTCAGCAGCCAGAACTAGAAATATGTTTAAATTAAAAAGATCATTGATTGTTATGAACAAACTGATAATAACAAATAACTGATGACATATCTTGACTGATTCTCAGCTAAAGAATTTTGTCAAGTACAATTACAAATTCCATCTGTAACAACCTTTTGTCATGTTAATCAACAACATCAGAAAGCGGAAAAAGTTGAAAGTGTTACCCACGAGACAGAAGCGGCAAATACCAAACATCCGCCTCCCACTTCTCCTTATCATCATCAACACATAGCCTGGGCCTCACCTCACATTGTATTATTGTCCCCAACGATAGATAAGATAATGAAAGAGTGTGTTGTTTTGTTTCTCTACTTCATACATCACCCCAGACAATAGTGTTTCCAAACATACAAGATTTATGGTAGCCATACATGTTGACACATCACGTTTACTGATCTAGTACCTAGAAACAATATTAAAAAACAAATGTCTCCCATCTCTCATTTTTTAAATATTTGAATTTATAGTCAAGAAACGTTTTCAGCATTCACAATGGAACTTAATGAACAGACACTGGACATATTATGCAATAATAGAACTACTACTTGACCTTCCAGGAACCCAGTGGAGTTCACTCCTACACATGTAATAGGTTTACTACTGTACAATGTGAGGGCACAAAGTATGTCGCAGCCCAATAAGTGAAACACCCTCAGCTGGGTCACACTGACCTGGCTGGCCCTAGTCCAAGTCATACTGAGGACATGCTCTATTCAGAGTCAGTATTGCTTTAGCATTGGTTCAGGTCAATGATGACACAGGTTCCAGAATGATTTTGGAGCTTGGCCAAACATGTTTTTGGCATCATTAAAGCATATTTCAGTTTGAGCACAAGGTTCAGCATAGGTAGATGAAAAAAAATGGGAAGAAAACTTATCAGAATCATGCTTGGACAAGTGACCATAGTTACAGATTGTCCTGTTACACAGAAAATATCACAGGGCCAAGTAGAACCATAACCAACACTGTAAAGTTATAATGCAACACTAGCACCCTGTGTAGGGATCTATTTTTCTAGGAGACTTGCATTGTAGGGCACTGGCGGTCTAGGAGACTCGCATTCTAAAGGACTGGCATTCTAGGGCACTGGTGTCCTAGGAGACTCCTAAAGGACTGGCATTCTAGGGCACTGAAGTTCTAGGAGACTCGCATTATGGAAGATTCTCAATCTAAGAGACTTCAGTTCTCAAGGACTTGCATTAAAAGATGCCAGCAAAATTAACTCGAACTCGCACAAATCAGGAATAAGGAAACATTTAATTACAATTAGGAAATATTTACTGAAATTTGCAACGGATGCTGTTGGTCATGTATTGACCAAGGGGAAGAAAAAACCCTCCTGAGGAAAAATCAAAGAGATCCAGGTCTAACTGTTAAAAAAACATACAAGCACACATTTAGTGCTGACAAACAAGGAAACATAATCATGGCAAACAGGGACTGAGATCCATGATCATAGTTAAGGGAGACAGCTCATCACACCCAACTGCATTGCTTCAGACAGCAGGGTCACCTATGCCCCCAACCCATACACCCAACTGAGGTTGAAGAGAGGAAAGAAAATGCCATTCCACTCTGAAGAGAGGGTGAACTCCCAAGCTGGGTCGTAAGCTGCTGTTTGTGTACTACTTACCCATTTGTTTCTCTAACTCTGCAGCTTCGTCAGGTGTTGCCCGTGGGATAACTCCGGGATCACTGAAGCTAGTTCGGAATAATGTAGCCATGACGAATATAAACAAGGCCCCTCCGATGGCGGGAATTGCTGGAGTAACTTCCACTGCCAGATACACACAGCTGAAACAATCAGGAAGTGGGATTAGATACACAACTTGGGGCTGGAAGGTCTGCATGTACATGTGCTTATGTTTACATCATCCTTCCTGTTCTACCAAACATGCACCAGTGTTACATAAATAAAAAGGTGATATCAACAAACCAAAAACATTTCAGGAAATACCGGAAAGAGAGGGTTTAACACTGTATTTAACAGCAAATCAGATCTATCATAACGTGTAAGCGTAACGTTGTATGTCTGATATCCAGTGGTGGTTAGGGATGTGACTCTACAGAGAGAACTGCACCAACATAGACCACAGGGTCATCAATACCACCAGTATGTGAGGGATAGATGAAGGTGTGCATTGGTCTGAAGAAGTTTCAACATGAATGATAGAGGGGAATGGATGCTACAAGAAATGTAGTAAAGGCTGCAATGACTGCAGCCAATAAAGACATCAAGTATCCCATGAGAGTGAGAGGCGTTAAATGCCACTTTGAACAATTCCCCAGTTCTATTACAGTATGTGGAATGAAAGCCTGAAGTGCTGAAGGTCTTACATGTTTACCACTAACCTAAGAGCACCAGTATAACACCAACAAACTCAGAAATCTAATGTGGGCAAACCAAGATTTGAACCCACAGCCATAGGTTTCTGGTGTGCCAAGGGGACACCACTCTGAACAGCGAATTGCAGTTCCGTATATGATTTCCTGATTTATACCAACATCGCAGATACATGAACTCCGCTAAGCATTTAATCGTTAATACTCTGTGGGTCCAGATATTATATAGTCCTGACTACTTTTACTGGCACTTACAACATGGGAGAAGCAGTTATAAAATGGGAGAAGCAGTTATAACATGAGATAAAAGCAGATATAACATGAGAGAAGCAGTTATAAATATGGGAGACACATTTATAACATGGGAGATGCAAGATATAACATGGGAGAAGCAGTTATAACATGGGAAAAGCAGATATAACATGGGAAAAAGCAGCTATAACATGGGAAAAAGCAGCTATAAAATGGGAAAGGCAGTTATGACATCGGAAAAGCAGTTATAACATGGGAGAAGCAGCTATAACATGGGAAAAAGCAGCTATAAAATGGGAAAGGCAGTTATGACATCGGAAAAGCAGCTATAACATGGGAGATGCAAGATATAACATGGGAGAAGCAGCTATAACATGGGAAAAGCAGCTATAACATGGGAAAAAGCAGCTATAACATGGGAAAAAGCAGCTATAAAATGGGAAAGGCAGTTATGACATCGGAAAAGCAGTTATAACATGGGAGAAGCAGCTATAAAATGGGAAAGGCAGTTATGACATCGGAAAAGCAGCTATAACATGGGAGAAATAGTTATAACATGGGAAAAGCAGTTATAACATGGGAGATGTACTGCAGCTGATACAGACAATAACTACAAGTGGACCGAGGTCAGTTAGTTCTCCACTATAACTGTACCTCCCACAGTGATAATGACATGCTCCGATTGCTTTGCATAGATTATGACCAGAAAATCAACAGGAACAAACACAACTTCAAAGGTTACACTACTGACAAAACACATCGTTTACAAAGTCATTTCAGGTTTCATAACTGTGTTTATGGCTGTGCTGTGTCTGGAGGTCCAATAGTGTAGGAATGAAATAACATGAATGTAGGTCTTTTTTTTCGATGCTAAGTCTATAAAAAACATTCAGTAATTTCCCAAGTAAATTGATATGGAAAGGAATCAAATGTGTCCTTCAAGGGACATCACAGGTTTCAAAAATCAACCTCTTAAAAGAATGATGTTAGCCCTCAATCAATGTTAAGCAATTGTATTTTTCATTTTGGCAACCAATCTTTATAATGGAGCAGAAAACAAATGAAGCACGGGCCATAAAACTAAGCTATTCTTCTAGAATAACTGTCTGCTATGTCTCTGGTTACTGTGACCGTGTATCAGAAATCTCCATTTCAAATGTATTGAGATTTCATCAGACCACAAAATAAACTTTCCTGCTTACATGCTCTTGTCTAAATACTTGATGGCCAATAATGGCTTCAAACAACAAAACAACATGGTCTTCATGCTTATGCATGATTCACTGAACTGTCTTGAAGGCAGCCAAGCCTTGTGGAAGAAGAGCTTATTGAATAAGAGCTGTTGATACATGTTGGAGAATATCACACCAGGTGTATGCAAATATAAAAGATGAGCTGTTACCACCAATACAAAACATTTATTCCTTAGTAGAGACACCTCATGCACTTATATTGTACCTTGCCTAATCATATTTCAATCATGTAGAAATATTGATAGATCAATGCATTTGCAAGATGTACTTCATTTCATGATCAGGCTACAGATGCCTATCAGAGCTGCAACACAATGCAAAATTCTCTCAAATTCCAAGATCCCATTTAACTCTATACAGGCTAACTAAAAGGTGAAAGTTTCTCATGCACAAACACACACACACACACACACGTGCACTCTGTGCCTGAAGCTATTTCTCTATCTTCACAAACTCATCATTCAGCTGACCAAGCAGATTATACTTATATTAGGTGTTAATATTACTGTAATTTACAAAGAGGCTAGTACAGGTCAGGTGAGCTTGTATCTGTCCGACAAGAGGAAGAACCTGAGTGCCTGGTACTCTCATGCAGCACCCATTACATAATGTAATTCTTCTTTATGAAACAGTCATAATTTGGAAGAATATTGCTTTGCAAAATGGTCACAGCACATGTCAAGTGCGATTTTGAAGCATATGATATCTTATAGATTTTAATGAGATTTTAGTCTATCATTTGACATCGAAGACTGAGCCAAGTTTAATCATTATTGCTCATACCAGAATGTTACGCTTTCATTCATTTTATAGTTTCTTGGGTTGAAAAGGCTTTATTTGCCTTGAAATGTAAACCTACTCAAATTCCAAGTTAATTTTGAAACATGATCGCTACCATGGCAACGTCAGTTTGCAGAAATTATGTAGAATTACTGTTTTTAGAGAAAAAAATATCACAATCGATCTCTTCATAGGATACATTTTATTAATTAACCAGCATATTGCACTGACAGATTGAGACACAGAAGGTGTAGACTCTTCAGTGTGGATGAAGCTGTTGTCCACGTTGAGTCTAATATGTGTATATTATGGATTCGATACATGACATATGCACCACCTGTCTGTGAACTTATTTCAGCAAAGACATCCACTTTTAAACCACTGTCTGACATTTAAATATTTTACTTCACTCACAAAATCAAACCGTTTTTATTTGATTTAATTTGATGTGCGCTTTAAGTAGAATACATAAAAACTCTCTTCAGTGTTGCAGACAACTTGTATCTAAACTAATAAATTCCTAATAATTTGAAGAACAAGTTCTCAGAGAATCTGTTTTCTTTCTTTTTTTTGTTAAATTTTCACAACGCAATAACCCAGGTATATGATACCACCCCGTAAATAACGGAGTCTATAGAAGACAAGCTAATGATTGATATTAGGAGCAACAATCCAGTGCTCACTTGCACAAAGAGATCTTAGCACTATATTAGAGTATTGGAGTCATCATAGCGTTAAGATCACTTTGTGAACGTGGGCCCAGGCCTTCAGGATATGATGACACACTATCATCTAAGTCACCAAACCAGACCATCCAATCAATTAAGACATCCTGTTTAAACCATACAAGGACCAGTTCTAATCTGGATTCATAGTTTGTCCATGAACTCATCAATCTAGTTATATCTTTGAAAATTGATCAAAACAAGTGTTTGCCACTGATGTGGCAATGTCCCCCGCCGCTAAAGAATGGAATATCTATATTTACTACTTTTTATTTTTGGGTCACATACAAGATGCCTGAAATGACTGGTGTCTGCATAATCACCCAATGTACCGTATATGACCGTCTATAAGCCGACCCCATGGATAAGCCAACCCCCAAACTTGACCCTCAAAATCAGTGTCAAAATCATATCTCTCATGGATAGGCCGCCCCCCCCCCCCCGTGACGGGTCGCGGCCAACAGAGACTAGAGTACCCGGTAAGTATGTTCCATCAACGACGAGACACCATTACGAGAATATTACATAATAAAGATTACCGGTGTTTGTTTACCTTTTTTTAACGATCACTGCTTGCATCAACAACGAGACGCCATTTGGAAAGTGGATATACAGCGTAAGTGTAGGTGAGAATACTACATAATAAAGATTACCGGTGTATTGTGGCAACATGTGCTTGTGTTCCTTTTTATATCCGACGATCACTGCTTGCATCAACAACGAGACGCCATTTTGTGAAATCGGTGAGTATGGAAATGTGAACCCAAGAGAAAAAGTACCATCGGTAAATAAAAACTGAAGTCAACTTTTGTTTCAAAATATATTATTTAAGTGTCCATATTTCATCTATATATATATGACAATAAGAAAAATAGTCCACTAACAATAAACACGCGACAAACTCATCCCACAGACAACTGGCAGTTACCAATAATTATAACTTTGGTCCACATTATTCAAAGAATTCACTGTCATATATATTGTGTCTACTCACGCGGATCGAAGCGAAGTGTAGTTGACAGAAAATGCATAATATATTTTGCTTCTCTAAATATCATATTTATTGTAGCAACAAACTGGCTTGCTTATTTTACCCCATTCAACAATCACAAACTGATTACCGCCTCGTTCCATGTCACGTGCTTACCACGTTCATGATGGTCCATATAACCTTAGTGTTGATTATATATTTTTTACATAAAAACTATTACACAATGCTAGGATATATTTCTTTTGGTTAAATAATAGTATTCAATCAATAGAATTCATCCCGTTATATTATTGTGCATGTTTGAACTTGTTCGCCGGAAAACGTGTGCACAGCTGATTGCTATTTCCGGCTTTGTGTACGAGACAAATACGCACGGTAATCTTAATCCCTGCAAATAAAACAATGCCCAGCAAAAACAACTTATAACTTAAATGGTAATTAATCTTGTCT